GATTATAGAGGAAAAAATCCAATTCCTAATCATCAGTTTGGGTTTAGAGCAAGCCACTTAACGATAGATCAGGTGCATAAAATAACAGATATAGTAGAAAATTTCTAGAAGAAGGAATAGTCTGTTCCGCAATTTTCCTCGTTGTAGCGCAGGCTTTTGACAAAATGTGGCATGACAGATGATATCATAAAATGAGATACTACTTACCAAAACAATATTCTGAACTACTAGAATCATATATATCCGACAGATACTTTCGAGTTAAATATGAGGAAGCATATTCAGAATTAAGAAAAGTTAAAGCTGTTCCACAAGGAAGTGCCCTGGGGCCAGTGCTATATCTGTTCTATACCAGCGATATTCCATCATTAGAACCTAACACAATTGCGACATTTGCAGACGACATATGCATTCTAGTAATCGGGCAAAACCACGAGGATGCAGCAACCATGGTACAGAAATCTGTTGAACAAATTGGATATAAACCTTGGATAAGTTTTTTGTAATATTTTATATGTAGAACTAACTTGCTTATTGATCATAATGATCAGATAGCAATAATCATAAGATTCCTGTTGGACTTTTTTTAAATAAAAAAAAATTCTCATCCATAATTTTCATACATGGTTCAATATTTACATATTTCCTCGAATGATGCTTTCATAATGTTTGCAATGTTTTCATTCCATTGTAATTGTTCCAACTTTTCTTTTATAATATCCACATGGCACTAACTACGAGCCATCGTGTTTAATCCGCAAAAAATATAATTTATTCAGCCTTCTAAAGTTTACATCCCTTTTTCAAGCCCTATATTCATCGGTGTTGCTTTTCAGCCAAGTCACTCTACCTAAAAACTCTTAAATTTTTTGAACAATTTGTCAATGGCGTAAAAAATCAAAGGTCGGAAGAGTTGGAATTCCCCTTTAAATACCGGCGGTGCGTAAAAACTTGACATGTGAGGGTGTGTGCAGACTGTAAGAAAAAACGGGGCACCTGCAAAAACTGGTTATGGGTCAGTAAATGCAAATTTGTAAGCCTGTAACGGTGGTAATCGATCTGTCTTTCTGTCGTCGAGTCGAGTTGTCGAGTGGGAAATAGGTAAACGGGAGGTAGAGAGTGAGCATGATGTCAATCCTGCTAATGATACCGCAGGACCACAGCAAATTACCCTGTTACGGGGACCAATCACCGACAGCCCCACCACTGTTGTGGATGCCTTACACGCAGAAACATTTTTCAACTACTAAGAAATGCACACATTTTTTTCAAATTTCACATTTATTTATTACTTTTTTTGTTTTTAAATGTTTTAATTTATAATATTAATAATAATACGTGTTAAAGGTCTTCTTTTTTGTTAATTTTAAACTGCTGTAGATTTAGGGCATTTTAGCAATATCCAATCTCCATTATGTACTGAAGAAAACTAAACGTGGCAATGCTTAGCCGCGTGGGCTATGCTATCCTCACTTCATGGTCAATAAAACAAATGAATACTCGTTTTGATTTTAGTTTAGGTTATGCTTTGACTGTAGTAGTTATAACACTCTGTACGTTAAAGATACGTGTGGTTAGTATTCGTGTAAAAAGTTTTGTATGTAATTGTGACGTGTTGTTGATGATCTAGCTAGATGATCTAGAGGAGTTAGAAAATCCATTTGAAAGCGACGATAGTATTGAAGATAAAGACTATGATCCTACATCGGACGAAGAAAATCCCTTTACAAAACTAACCTTGGCAGATACACCAGTAGAAACTCGCAAAGAAACGAGAAATACATGCTTTCGTAAAAGAAATAAAATTAAGCAGCAGCCGTCATCAGAATCAACATATACTGATAACCGTATTGAACAAAAATCGTCTGTTATAATATGGAATAGACAGTCTTTAGTATGTAAAAACGGTTATAAGTAGAGTACTTTACTAATAAATGATGGAGGTCGTAAAGTCGCATCCAGAAATATTGTTTATATCCGTCCAGGTCCAACTAATTTAGCTAAAGATGCTATAGAACAGGGGTCACCAATTATATTCCTTGAGGGTTCGTTTCAAAAAACTACTACACTTTCGCGGTCCGGACACTCAGCACTAAACCAGGCAGTGGCCTAACTGGGGGGAGGAGGTTACCCAGAAACCCTCCAGTACTTGTAACCCACCCCCACAGTAGATCATCCTGGTTACTTAGTTAAAACCAGGCAACTAGGACGCCACGTTTAGGAAGGGGTATAAAATAAACTCCAGGAAAAAGCTATTATATTGTTCTTCCTCCCGTCTTCGTTTAATAAATTTTTGCGGCGTAATTTGAAATATTTGTATCTTATTTAAACCTACTAAACCTGCTTAATATTTAAATGTTAGTAACAGCTTACCCTAAAATAGAGTTTGTTTACTTTACTTTACCAGCTTCGCTGGTCCATACACCATTAGGCTTGAGTGAAAAACTGTTGCTTAACAGTTTCACAACATTTTCAATTTTGTGGAAATTAGCATGTCGCTTTTTAAATAATTCCAAATCAAGTTCATTAATAAAACGCGAGAAATAATTAACATCAACATCTTTATTATTATCACAAACGGATTGAGAGGAACGTTCAGAAGTTCTGTCTGAATATCCTCAGAAAAAAGTTCAATCTTTTAGAAAATCTTCTTATATCCGACAAAAGTTCAGAAACATGTTTTCCCTTGCACTGAGTTTTAAATTCAAGAATCTGTATCCAGAATTCATAATTTTCTGTATCCAAGAGAAAGCCCAAATGGTCATTTGCAACTTTATTATTAATAGTGGATAGAAATTCTTTTATGTTGTCAAGTATTGCAAAAAATCTTTCAAGCACTAATCCTTTAATTGAAGATGCCTCAAAGATGATTTTGTACTTACAATTATCCGATATTAGATGTTTATTGCACATAGAATCGCTATTTAGTTGCTGAACCAAGACTTTTCTACACCCAACCATCGCTGCAGCGCCGGATTGAAATAACTTTTTTTAAATCCAAACCATCCTTGCCAAACACAGCCTGTGTAAATCCTCACCTATAGTAGTTCCTGATATTGGCAAAATAGTCAAAAGTTTTTCAACAAACTCTTCACTGGTTCTGTCCTGGTACCCCCCCCCCTCAAAATTACAAGCTGTGTTGTATCTGTAATGTCGCATGATTCATTCAACGCCAAAGCAAAAATATTTAGTGACAGCCAAGATTTGTGTTAACGGTTTGTATGTTCCATCTGTCAGTACCTGTGTATTCCTTGTGCTTGAAGTAGTAGGTATTGGAATACGCTGAATAGTATCGACAACATCCTTTTTATTTTTAAATAATGAATTTCCTGATTCCAGAAAACACTCTTTAACGATAGCCGCGTCAATAAATGGTTTCATATGTTTGGCAAGCGCCCAAGAAATGCGTAAAGAAACAGAAAGAACATTTTTCTTGATCGGACATTGATCGCTTAATAATTTCCGTAGGTGTAGCGTAATTTGAAAGTAAACTCTCAAATGTAAATTTCCTGAAATTTTGAAAAACCCTTTAGTCGAAACATTTTAGATTACTATTATGTTTCTATATAGTATTAGTACTGTGCATTGTAAAAGTGGAAAGATATTTATATATTTAGATTACATTATAATTTGACACTATAGTTTTATTATTATATTTTGAATTTAACGGCGGGCGGTCCGCAGAAAACAAGCTCACGGTCTGGATGCGGACGGTTTGCTCGGTTTGCGATGTGGCTACGAAATATGTAATAAATGCAATACCGTATCTGGGTTAATCTACTGTAACCAATGGCATTCCTTTCAGAACATTTTGTCACAAGCTTGACGAGACCTTTACATGGAAGTAGACGTAATGTGACAATGGGCAACTGGTTTTCCAGCATCCCTCTTGCGAATAAATTATTGTCTTTCTCTTACAATTTGACAATGGTAGGAACACTCCAGAAAAATAAATCATAAATACCTCCTGAATTGCTCGATAACAAAACTTGGAAGTGCGGTTCAAGTATGTTTGTGTGCGATGAAAACATGACTTTATTATCTTATAAACCTAGGCAAAATAAGACAGTTCTTCTACTTTCAACTATGCATTTTTCTAAAAACATTAATCATGAAACAAGAAAACCCGAAATTATCCATACATATAATTCAACTAAAGGGGCTGTAGATACGTTTGACCAAATGTCTCAGAACATTTGCTGTAATAGGAAGACTAGAAAGTGGTCACTATGCAATTTTACAATATGACGAATATTGCAGGAGTAAACGCTTTTGTAATCTATCATCACAATGCAACTAAAAACAAACAAGAACAATTTTCAAGATTAAATTTTATGCTGACACTTCATGAACAATTAACGAAGCCGTCAACAAATAAGACTCCATCCAAACAGTACCAACTTTATCAAGAAGTCTCAAATCAGTCTTTCCATGCTTTTGAATTTAACGCATGTTGCTAAAGACCGTCGAGGTCTCCAAGGGAAAGGAAAACGGACTTACTGTAGTTTATGCTATACAACAAAGAAATCAATGACAACTATAAAATGTTACAAGTGTGGGGGTGCCTTGTGTGGAGAGCATCAAATAAAAACGTATATAGAATTTGTGCATCAATAGAAGGTTATCTGTTGTAAAGCCAGATGATGTGTACTGTATTAGAAATGTCATTTGTCCACAACAATGGAGTTTCCTTTTCTTTTTTTTGACCGTGCCGAGCGCTTCATAAGCTGCTTCATTATTTTATTTATTACCTCTTGGTCAGGAGTAAAATGGTGTTGAGTCGTTTTTATTTTTGATATCGTTTTCCTCAATGTATGGTTTAAATAGACTGTTTTTATTTATTTATATTATAACTGCTATTTATGTGTGTTATTAATTTATTTTGATGTTTTGTATGCCCATTACCTGATTTTGTGTCGAATATCGCAAAACCAGAATTGGGCTTCTTAAAATTGTTTCATTAGTTAAAATTTGTTCCTTTTTAAAATCATTTTTATTAGTGTACACTAAACTCGACTGTTCTGTTCTCTATGAACCATATGGCGCATCAGAGTTAGTTTGTAATATTCCTAATGAATTGCACACGCGTTCACACACCGCGTACAGCATGAAAACAGAACTTTTACTAGGACCACGACAAGGATAGCGATATGGACGTGTATACTGGGGTAGTCAAATTACGTATTTAAATGATCTTAATAGAATAGTTCTTGGAACATTTTTTTTTCAATGATATTTGTGACGTAATTTGGTTTTGAGCATTATTTAGAGTCATATTGAAATTGTATACATCATTTTAGGCTCTTCTTGTTGTTGTGTCTATCCGTTACGGACGTTGGCTACCAACATGACTATTCTAACTTTGTTGACTGCTGTTCTAAAAAGTTAAGTTGTACCAATCTCGGAGATTGCTTAGCCATGGTATCCTACGCCTTCTTGATCCTCTCTTGCTGTGCACCTTATACTGCAGAATGGTTAGGAGCAGGCTGTACCGATGTTCGTTACACATTACGTGGCTCATATATTCCAGTTTACGTATTTTATAACTATGCTTATTTCGCGGTCCTTTCTCATTATTTGCAAGATCTCATTACTAATAAAACTATCCATCCAAGAGATTCTCAGTATGCGCCTGTAGCACCACATTTCAAATGCTTTAAGGCGCTTTATGGATGCCTCGGATAAGGTCCACAATTCCACTTTGTACAATAGAACCAAGAAAACAACAGCTCAGTAAGCAGACCTTAATTGGGAGTTGTAGTTCGTGACTACTGAAGATCTTTTTTATTTCAGATCTTGCCTTCTCAATCATTTAGTTAACTTTCATAAGAAAGTAAAACAAATAACGTGCCTTTTTGCCTACAGAAACACAGTCTTACCAAACTTGAGAGACAGACATGCATGGCCGATATTGGACACATAGGAACCCAAGGTTACTAGGATTCTAGTACAGCTACCCAATATAACATTATTTTTAAATTACAAAAAAGAGCAATTCGGTATCTTTTTGGCCTCAGTAGAATAACACATTGTAAGAGCTACTTAAAACATCACGGGATTTTAACTGTTCCCTTTGTATATTCTAGAAACTGTTTTCTTAATTGGTAAACACCTACATGTTTTTCCAGCAAGACCCAATCATGAATACTCCACCAGAAATTCAAGCTTTAATATGTATTTATCGATTCCGTCCACTGAGTTAGTAAAGAAATCTATATTATATTCGGCAAAAAATTATACAATTAACTCCCTTTGCAACTTAAATCTACAACTTCTTTCCTTAAGTTCTGTAAATTGACAAAAGTCTATCCATCTGAAAGACCATATTATTCAGTGGAAGAGTTTCTTAACGAGAAACTAAGAAATTAGAGTACGTTTAGGTACAAGCAACTAAAGTATTATATATTTGGGTATTACATGCAGCAACTAAAACTTATTCGTAAACTACTTCGTAAGGTTATATTATGCAATTTAGTTAGATTTTGCAATGAATTGTATATTTTACTATCTTTTATTATGTGATACTGACAATTTTTGTAAATTTTAATTGTTATTGATATTTTTTTTACTTTTTGTAAGCTTTGTCCATAAAATTCTACAATTTTCAGTGACAATAAAGCTTATTTCTATTTTAGAACCCTACCCGTTCCATAAGGTTTAATGTGTTTATATATTGTTGTATATGTGGTTTTTTGTTTATGTTTTGTTAAACAATAGTTTATGTTTTCTAACGTTTATTAATATTTTCCTAAATACGTATTCCTGAACTTTTATCTTTCTTCTGTCTACTGCTATGTCTAACGTGACATACTAATGTTACCAACTAACAATTAATCTGGAGTTATACACCATAATTCACTATATCTTTTCAACGTATCACTCACTGAATAAGAGAAGAACATACTCAATACCCTGAACAGGTTAATGTTTGCTTGTGTATTATTTTAGTTTAAATAAAATACTATATGAAGTACTTTGCAATTTTATTTACCCCATCTTTATTCTTTTGTGTAAATCAATTTTTACAAATATATTTATTTCTATACACTAAAAATTAAAATTATTCATCGTTCGTTGTTTCTCACTTATTCAAAATATTTTATATGTTTCCGATACTAAAAATAAAAGCAATCAAACCAATAGTCATTATTTATTCAAATGAAAAAACTGTTTCAAATACCTTTCAATTATTAGAAGGTACGCCGCTGACTAAACGGGAAATATCACAGTCTATCACCTCGCCTCTTTCCTTGCACCTAAAAACTTTTCGACTTTAAATTTAGGCGAACAAAGTGCAGGGCATGCCCAGTCCATCTTTATTTATACGTCCATGGCTTCTATAAACCCCACAGATTCTGTAGTTGAAATATACTTAGAAAACAGTGTCTGTTTCTATTTACCCACTTGATGGGGTGAAAAGAAAGAGAATGTTTATTTTTTAAATTTTTTTCCTTGTACTTAAAAGAAAAAAACAATGATGTAGGTTTGTAAGGATTGCAAGGCCCTTAAGCCTTAAGGTAGCTTTCAATTCCTTACATCTAATAATACTTTACGATATTTATATTCAAAATTGAAAACTGTTTCTATTTACCCCATTTTACGGTACATTGGAAGTAATCACAATACCTTGGATGGTAATGAAAAATCATACTCCAGAACTTTAATTATAAGAATCGATATATCGAAACACTTCCCTCTGTATTTGTTAACTCAGGATATGATTTTCTGACATCCAGTATATACAAAATACAACAAAAGACATATAGTATAGCTAAAATGTTTTCAATATTAGAATTCTTTTGTGAACATTCGTGGAAAGTAAAAGAGATGATGTCGTATGGTTCTGCTGCCAAGAACAGATATATAAAAAACTAAATATGTTGTTTTCTTTATTATCCATCTTACTTAAATCTGCCACCTATCCAGCAATTTAGTCTTAGCGTTTTCAACCGTGTAATAAACTTTAAAGACAGACATACGACCGTGTGTTTGATTTGTGGTTACTAAAATTTCAGGCTGGCACATCTTTAAGGTAATGAATTAGCAGTTAATATGCGCTCGTTTCGATAAAATGTTGAACAGCGACTAAGATGGGCTTAACTCGTCTATTGTTGGTGCTGAAATAAAAAAGGTATTGTGTATCATAAAAGATGACGTGGTAGTACAACTCAGCATATAAATGGTGTCAAATAGAAGATAACCTTTTACAATGTAACGTCGGATACGTATTCTTAGAAAACATAAAATATATCAATGTTTTAAGTGGAGACGAATAAAAGAAGGGTCGTTTAGAAACTTTTAGTAATACTAAAGAGATGAAAATGGCAATTTAACATCTGCGATCATAGAAGAGGTCAAACGCGAAATTCTATAAAAGTTTTACTATTACGCGAATTTATTTATACATTTCTTAAAATAAACGTAATTACAAAAAAGAGTGTAATCTTTTTAACTTGATATATTTAAAAACCCTTAAAAGGGCTACATTAAAAAACACAAACGTTTTTGGAACGACAATTCCATCATCAGGTTTAAAAAACACCTAAAATAAGTATAAACCATTTAGTTAAAGAAAACGTGGTTAAAATTTTTACTAAGGTTAAAAAAGCAAAAATGGTTAGACTTACTAGGTTTACATACCTGAACCACCAAAATATTTCTGTGAAAACCCTTTAAAATAAATTTAGTTATAAAATGTTGTACATAATGTTGTTTTATATATGTGATGTTTGATATTAGATTAGATATGGCTTCAGGTAACATACACCCATGGTTTGAGTGAGTTCCAGTGTCCGGAGAGTAAAATTCTTCAGACGGATTACGGCTGGTAACTGATTGACAAGATACCTATGAACGGTGTCGAAAACAAAATATCGATGTAACATGAAACTATATTAGTTATACACAGTATTACTACAGCCAAAAGATTAATAAAAAAAAAATTTTTTTGATGACGTTAAAAATAATAACAGCAATCCACGTGTTGGGATTTAAAAACTTTTTTATTTATTTAATTTTGGATGTAAAAGATGTGAAATTACCAATGGTGTTGAAGGTCATGTTAAAGAGAATGACGTGTGCATTAGGCAACCTAAGTTACTCTTCGTCGTATGGAGTGTGGTCTGAAAAGTGTAATTTGTGTTAGATTAGCTTAGATATATGAAAATGTTCTTTTATGTTTATCACATCTAGGACAAGGTAAAATTGAATAGTATATATTTGAAGCTAACATAAGACCTCGTATTTAAATGACATTGTTTCGACAGGGTCAAGTGGAGACACTTATGGCGAATACTAAAAGAAGTAGGCGTACCACAACATCTAATTTCGCTTATAACCGAACTATATGAACACACTTCTGGATCAGTTAAAGTACTTGACACACTTTCGAACGAATTTCATCCAGAACCGGGTGTCAGACAAGGATGTATACTATCTCCACAATTATTCAACATATATGGGGAGTATATTATGCGAAGAGCACTTGAAGGATGGAAAAAGGGCATCTCAATAAATGGTCATAAACTAAACAACCTACGTTTCGAAGATGACACAGCCCTTCTTGCAAATAGTCAAGCAGAGCTGATAGAACTTATACGACTGATCGAAAACGAAAGTCAAATATTTGGTCTGCAATTAAACATATCAAAGACAAAGATCATAATAGTGGATAGACTACACAACAATCATCCACACATAACCACAATTGACCGGTTCGAGGTTGTGAGCTCATACTTATATCTGGGATCAAGATTAAAGAAGAGATTAAACGTAGATGTGATCTAGCAAAAGTTGCCACAGCAAAAATGACCAAAATATGGAAGGACTGTCAAATTTCAATAGCGATAAAGATGAGGTTGATCAACTGCTTAATATTTCCAATACTGACCTACGGATGTGAATCTTGGACTCTGAGACAATCGGAAAGAAGAAAGATAGACGCCACTGAAATGTTCTGTTGGAGACGAATGTTACGGATTCCTTGGACCGACCGTAGATCAAATAATTCAATTTTAAGAGAGCTAAAAGTTAGCCAACGACTCTCTAGTAAAGTCCATCTCCAACAATTAAAATATTTTGGGCATGTTATGAGAGCAAACACAGAAAACATGGAAAGACTCATAATACAAGGAAAGGTAGAAGGCC